GGAAAGTCAGCTGAGACCAGAGAGGACTGTGAGGAATTTCAGAAGGATCTAAAAATACCCAGCAAGGGCAATAGCACACTTTGAGATAAATGTGGAGCAATGCATATTTGACAGAATAATCTGAACTATTCATACAAGCTGATTTCTTCAGACCAAGTGCAGCACTTTGGAGACACAACAAGTGCTATTGACAAGTCAATGAAATTTTTTCCTCGCTATGAGCCTCAGCAGATTACAAAGGCACATGGATGAGTCACTGGCATTCCATCTCTTAGAAATACTGTATTCAGTTATTACAGTGTCTTAAGCTAAAAAAAGGAGAAGTGAAAAAAATGAGATTTTACTTGCTGACAGAGGTCATGTCCACATGTCACATACATGGAACATTGTACAACAGAACAGCTGGCAGAGATGACTGGTCTAGGAGTGTGGGAACTGCATCTCTGTGACAGTGCAGCATCATGCTGGGACAGTAAATCAGGCTCTGGAAAGACTAAAGCCTCCCTGGCTTTCCAGCCAGCTGGCATGGAGAAATCTCCATGGTTATGGTAGAAAGCCTAATGGGAGATGAGATCTTGTGTCTGCAAGGATCAAACTGGCCACCATTTAGCTGTTATGGGAAGACATTTATTTTCTGAATGGTTTATTCAGCATTTACTCCTTCAGTTACCTCCTTTATACTGTGAGGATCAGCCTGAAAACAACTGAAGATTTCCAAGTCTATCTTTTGAAAAAGGTTGCTGTCAAGGGAAATGAATTAATCTGGTTGTTGTAACTACAGTAAAGAGAACAAGCAGTATTGGACTCAAATTTCTGTAAAGAAGACTCAAGTCAGAGAGCAGGAGAATGGATCCACTGTATGTTAGACTGACAAGAAGTCGTGCAGTCTTCAGCGCTGGAGAAGAGGTAAGATGTTTCCCTCCTGACGGAATAGACAACAATGTATACTGCTTTTGCTTTTGGGGCAGGGAGATAGACAATTTGATCTGAAATTACCTCCTGATTCCACTGATCTTAGACCAGTCACCACTTCTTACCAGGAAAAAGATCTTCTCTCACTCTTTCAGCAGCAGTGGATCTTGTCCTGCAGATGACAATCCGTCATCTGACAGAAGTGGTAGTGAAGCATGTTTTAGGCAACTACACTCTGCAGAGGAGACATAGCAGTATAGACAGATGTAGCCAATGTCTGAAAAAAGGTCCAAGAAAAATTTGTACAGTTGTGACCACAGAAGTGTCCTTGTGACCAACTAGTGCTATGTGACAGAGAAAGAGGGGATGAAAGAGTAGAGTCATAGAATTTCTATGTCACTCACTTTGCACCAAAAAGTCTTCATTGAGTATCACCATGTCAAAAGGCAAATATGTTTGCAGTATGCACAGTCAAACCTAATGGATAAAAGTGTCACAAATCTCATTAAAGAAAAGAAAGGACTGAACTCACTGTTGGGCTCCTCTGTTTAACTTCTTGCAGAGTTTTAAGGGGGGGACGCCATGTTTCTTCCTGTAGTCATTGTGTGCTTTCAAGACTTCTTCAGCAAATTGTTTGGAAGCTGAAATCACATTAAAAAAAAATCGGAAAGGTCTGTCAAATACAGATATTAGTGAAGACAGAAAAAGCATACCCTGTAGCTAACACACTGGTGCTGGCTGGACAGAAGAACAGAATGCCACCCTCATTACCTGGGAGTAGGATGAAATGAACCATTAATGACTTCCATTCAGAAACTAACTCTAAGAGACACTCCCTTTGGGATGTCTGACCAAAGGCAGAAGAAAAATGTGATCCTTACTGCTTTCCTGAAAAGCAAGGTGATTTAAGGTCGGTCAGTTTTTCAGTTTAAAATGAAAGTCAGTTTGTCTGACTTTCATTTCAAAATATCAGTGCACTGCGTCACCGTTGCAGAGTCTCAGAGTAAGTGACAAGTTTGTCCTTCAAGGAGACACACTAAAAATCCCAATTATTGTCCCTGTACAAAAGAATTATCTGTATTAGTCAGGACACCACCTAAAGAAAATGAAGATACTAAAATGTTTAGAACTATGCAAGTACTTTGAAACATGCACCATTCTTTTTATTCATTATATAGTACAAATTCATAGAATTCTCAAAATGCACCTTTATCCATCTCAAGACAAATAATTGTTCACAAAGAGCAAGGGGTAAGGAAAGAAACAACTGCTAGGGATGATTTCTTCCCCCTGTGATAGAGTGTATTCAGTAAATATCTGAGTTCCAAAGTTTCTGCAAATCTTTAAAAGAGCTCGTGTTTTGACCTGGGACTTTCAGCAGCACAAGGCAGAGAACTAGCAATCAGTCACAGTGCAATACACTGACAGCAATTTCATGCTACCTCCTTTTATGACTTTGCTGATTTTTCCTAAGATTCAGAGGAGGGAAAATATCTCTGCCATTGGTCACCCTGTGAAATTTGCTGTTTGAAGATAAATTTGGAACCTAAAAAAGGGTATTGGACATTTAGAGAGGTATAGATGCATTTTCAAAACAGAAAGACAGTTTTCATTTTATCTTGCTGAAGCTTCTGAACAGGGCAAGAGAAATCTATAAGTATTTAACTCTGCTTTCAGTATGACACGGGTTTTTACATTTATGATTCATTAGCTTCATTTCTGAATATCCTCATTAGCACAACTACCATAATTTTCCTTGTGAGACACTTTTGACGTTCAGACCTCATCACTAGAAAGCGTTTCCTGCTATTAACTTCAGATTTCTCGACTTTCTCTCACTACTTGATCCTAACAACTGAAATCAATCATTCTCTGCTTTATTAGCATGAACACTATTCTGCTGTTTGTAATCATGCACTTTCCCCACAACTGTGCTGTCAGTTTACACATACTGCTCTCAGAACTTTTTCCTAATGTGATTACCCAACTCATGCTCATGTTTTAAGCTGTTCTCAGAGTTCTCTCCAGTTTCCTCAGCAGTGCTAGGATAATATGGCAGCCTAAGATAATCTCAATATCCTATGCACATAAGAAAGCCATTACTATTTCATGCAGTACCTTAAGCCTTTTGAATGCAGTTTGAAGTTGCATTGACTCTTTCCAGACCAGTGTGTCATTGTGGACATATATCTAATATATTTTCCATCAACATGCTTTCAGGCTCATATTTTGGGGTATAAAGTTGTTGGCATAAGACAGCAACCCTGTTTAGTGACATGAGATCTGCCCACCACCTACCTCCTCTGAGGTTCATCTTCAATTTTGTGTATCACAAGTTGCATATCATTGAACAAAACAGGCACCTCTTTTCTGATATTTAAGCATACACATCCCCTTTTGCTAAGGAACCTGTCCCATCATTCATATTACCATTGCTCAGAGCTCACTGATTCTATCAGGCCAGAGTCCTAAACCTCTCATCTGCTGCATCATGCAGGACAGCCTTATTTCTACAGTGTCTATCACATGTTACTGAGGAAAGCAAGCCTATGGTCAGATCACTTGACTTCACTGATGCAGGGGTCCATGCTTCCAGCAGGGAATTGTTAAGACAGCCTGCAAATCAAAGAAGTTGAAAAACACAGCTTTGAAAGTTGCACCACATACTTCACACTACATTTTTTTGCATATGACCATCCTAAAGCTTGCGACTGTTGTCACCTGGAGTTAATATCCCATCTGCTCAGCACTGAATAGTAGATAAACAATCTGACCTGCAAGCATGAAAGTTTCTATTCAAATTATTTGCTTTCAATGACAATAACAAATTGAAATTTTGAATAAAAAATGGGTCAACTGAAATAAAGACTTTGTCAGTGCTCAGTCCATCCATTAACAGAAATACCTCATAATCCAGCTCTGAAATAATGTTCTAACTTACAAAGGCCAACAAGTCATGGAGAAAACTGAGCTGCTTCTAGCCACAGCAGGCACTGCTGTGCTGTCCCTAGAGAACCTCCATCCTCCACCTCCCTCAAAGGTGGCTGCTATAGAAATACTTATCTCCCATGACTCAAGCTCATGTGCTAACCACCTCCCTCTGCACAGCTTCTCCCATGCCTGATGATGTGTGGAGAGGGACACCCAACTGCCAGATACATTTCAGATTTGTTTCAGAAGGCATGTTAAGTTTTTCCATTTTACCAATGTTCCATACACTGAGAAGCCAGACTTTAGAAGTGAGAGTTAGTGTGAGCTTTCAGGCTCCCGCCCAAATGGGAACAGCTTCCCAAACAGCTTTGGAGACGTACTTTTTTCCCCTTCATATAAGCTGCTTAAGCTGCTCGAAGAAAATTATTTCCTACTGCCAGGAAGTTAGGTTCAGTCATGAATCATTACACAGCTTAATAAGTAAAACAACTAAAGGTATTAGATACAGTTGCTTGCTCCTCATTATTCAATTATTTACCTTTGTTTTGTGTTCTTTGGGAACATTGGCTAAGATAATGACAGCACATGACAATGAATTTCTAGGCTATGATGTGGTGCAGAGTACACCTAAGAGCTGTTATGCTTATGGACTTCCAGTTTCATTGATCAACTTTATGTGACCACAGAAAAGTAAGCAGAGGCATATGGATTGCTTTTCCCCATCAGATTTGTTTTTCAGAATATTCTGTTTCTCTGTTCTCTTACTGTCTCTAAACAGCCAATCTACTCCGTCTGTTTTGAGTGAAGAGGCCTTCATGCCTGTATCCATCCTGGCTCTCCTTTAAACCCTGTCCTCTCCTGTTTGTCCCTTAGTTTGGATATCAAAACAGAAGTGAGTTATCTGAACATGTCTTCCACAATATGAGCTGCTCTGCCTCACCACTGCAGCTGTGAGCTGGACCTGCTCTACTG